TACAGACACCCTTCAGGAATTCCTTTGAAAAGAGAAAAACAAAGAGAATGTTGATATTATCTTCTACAAGACTGCTAAATAACTACTTATTAATGACAGAGATCATTTAACTCAAGATTCAAGAAATAACATACTAAAACCCACATATTATTTATTTACAACAAATAAGAAGCTCAAGATAGAGATTATAATGAGGTAGACAAAATATATAATGGAAAACAGTGTAAAATTAGACTGAGGAAATTATAGATGATTGCAAAGAGTTACATTTTCCACATCAAAAACAAATACATTCACTATCACAATAATAACACTCATAACAACACCTGCAAGAAGTACAGTCCCCCCATGTCTTAGAACAAAAGACAAAATAGTCTAATAAAATCATAATGAATCAATTGCTCAAGAATAGTACTATAAAAATATCTGTCAATCTTCTTGGGAGTGGAAAGACAAAAACTGCTAAAATAACCTTATACACACGATGCATTATTAGTCGTACCTTTTAGTCAACTGCATTCTTCCATTTAAAAAAATCCTTCTCTTGACATACCCTAGTCTAAATAACTAATAACCATATCAGTGGTTTACATTTTTTCAGTGCGCATTTTCTATGGCATCTATTTCTTCCCTTCCCTAATCCAACATGAATTAATAATGAATTAATTCAATAATCATTCAATCATGCATTAGGCTGGGTAATGTCCGAGGCAACCCAGTACCATACACCAGTTGGGGAACCATTGGCTTAGATGCTAATCAAAGCCTATGCTATATTCTGTATCTTTTATTGCAAAGGGAAGATGAATGATCATACATGGCCCTATGAATTCTTTGATACTACCATTATAGTCATTATCTAATCCTGCAATACGACGTTTCTGATGAAGATGTATATGACGAGCAAAATGAAAATTGTACAACCAGACCTTCACTGAGGAATTACTGATCTTCTTTCGTGCCAGCCATCAAAACTGAATAGCGTTCGTCCATGAGCAGACAAATAAACAATCCTCTTTCTTTCCCACTATAACAAAGAACTCTCCTTCACAGGCAATCCCTCATTTACACCTATCCCCCCCCCCCCACCAAAAGAAAAACCCTCACACATAGCCGCAGACACAAAGAAAAATCCCAATTTCTATACTTAGCACAACGAAAATTCCTACCACTACCATAGTGAAACCTACACATAAAGCCTCCTTACCTTGCATGTGGGTCTTGTTCCCGTAAGCGCCACGTCGAGGAAGAGGGCTTTGCGAACAGCTTGGTCCACCACATGGGGAGAGATTTCCCCTGAGGCTCTGTAGTTGTCTTCATCTTGCTTTGTGATGTGGAAGAATCTGAAGGCATATCTTTGGTTATTTTTCAGTAAAGATTTTTTTAAAATAACAATGTACAAATAAAAAAACAAATCCAAAAACAAAAAACTGGCAGAGACCAAGATGAAGCTCATCAATTTCTCTCAAAAATTTTATTTATCTCGACATAAAAATAAAGAAATAAAAAATAATCCCCCAAACCGTTCAAGATTGCCAAATATCTAAATAGTCTCTCTACAGATCTAACCGTTACATATTGTATATGTCCCTGCCAGGACTTTTTCTCTTAAAAAAGTATGAAAGACCAAAACCCACTTTTCAAAATAAGAAAACTATAAAGGAGTAACAAAAACAATCACATTTACACAGCTAGTACAACTAAAAGAAATTTTTGTATGAGTTTACAAAACATACAAACCAACATACAAATAAATAAACATACACTTTACAAACACCAACACAAACACACACACACGCACACATACACACACACACACACACACACAAATTTCAGCAAATATCCACATAAAATACTGATAATAAAAAACAAATGAATAAAAAGCCGAAACTGAAATGTGCTAAGCAATAGTCACTTGACCACTCATTACCAAAATATCATGTGAAACCTCCCTTTATTTCCTTTCCAAAAAAGTCTATTCAGCATATTCCACAGGGCTCATGCAAGTTTCACATTGTACAATGAATAAAAAACAGGCATGATGATATACACACGTTACAAATACAAAAGATAGATGCACATTCTATAACCTTTCCATTATCAAAATTTCAATGTAATTGTTCTGAATCATCAGCTCTTCCACCAATATCTTCTCATTGCAAATATGTTTTAGATGTCATAATTAAATATCTAAATTACAGAGGCATGGTAATCATCACTCATTCATTGAACCTGAAAGCAGGTGAGTGATATGAAGTGATGAACGTACCACGTAATTATTCAATACATTTCATAAGTTCATCATCATACACTGAAAACTACCAAAATGCTTGTCATTCTGTATTCAATTTATGGTAAAAAAAGGGGCAAAGAACCTGCAATCTGCTCCCATTAAACATATTACGAAGAGCAAAGAGATTAATCATCATATGCAGTAATAAAATTTTCATGCCAGTAAACGGCTCATAAGGCTGCGCCATCTTTGAGCAAAAAAGCAGTC